AAAGATTAATTCAATAAACTTTGAGTAATGACATATTTTGATCATAACCTCTTTTAAAAGATTAAATGAGATAATATATATATAGGACTTTTGTCCTATTCACTTAAAGAAAACAAAAACACTTTAAAATGACTTTCTTCTTATAAGTGTAAAAAATAAAATCAAAGACAAAGAAAAAACAATAGAAAAGTTTTTTTTTCACCAGGGTTACCTCTACAACTATGTGTTTCTTGTTCTTTTAACTGTCATTTTTATGATCATCTCATGTAGTGAGCTGAGTCTCATAMGAATATTTACCTCACTTTGTATTCATGCATGTCTCACGTTACATTTTGTCTTTACTAGCTTAAGTAACAAACCGGGACGAGATTGGCATTGGAAAGTCCCTAAAATTAGTTTAGATTAATTGTTAGATTCAAACGAAGATTTCTTCACAGACTGGCATGGAGTGAGGATCTCTCTGGGACCTGCGGTCTTTTCCCACCCCTGTTTCATGGGGAGGTTTTTCTGATCGTGAAGGGTCATTTTAGGTGTTTTGCGATGTGCCGGCCTTCAGGTCCCCTGCTGTGACACAGATTTTTGAAGGTGTTTGCGTGGATTGTTTGTCCATGCCAGTCATGGTGGTGTTTATGGACAGGGGGCCTGGGGGTGTGACTGATATAGTCAATTTTGGCCTTATTATAAATTAGGTTTAGTTTACCTATTTTTAAAGTAATTTAAAATAATGTGCGCTTAGGACTTTAAAATAGGTTATTAGCTAAATTAGACAACCTCTAAATTTTAGTCGTAACGTTTACATAATGGACAAGTTTTTATTATCCTAGAAATTTGAACAGCAAATCTCTTGTGCTGCAGTTCTTTGGTGTTATTTTTTCTTGATTTACTGCCAGTCCTTGTTTGTCTCTCGGGACTAATTAGTCCCGAAGGGGGGAATTATGTAGTGTCCTAAGAGTGGGGGTTTGTCTAAGGAATGTTTACATGTGTGGCTCATCAGCCACTCAGCTTCAGAGTTCCACACATATCACCATTTTAGGACAACGTTTGAGGTACACCGTGACTGACAGTATGTACATCTGTTGCTTAAAGACCTCTGTACACCCCCACCTCGGGGCCTTTCTTTCTCCGACTTTCGTACTGGAGAAATCAATTGGCTGAAGGCCATAATTTGATCTTAGGCTGTATTTTTGATCTGCAGTAATAAAGTTGTTTGCTGTTCAAACCAGCCTGAATCCAGAGTCATTTTTGTCCGAGATCAACAGCAGTTCAATTTTGGACCAGAAGTGATTTTTCACCTTAGTTTTCAATACTTTTTCCCTGTGCCATTCCACATTATTACAAATAACTTAATTTCTGGACATTTATGGTTTGATTTCTATGTATGTATGGATCACTTGGGTTGTTACCGACATCTGGTGAAAATTTTATGACATTAGCACCTCTAGTAATATATTTACTGAGAAAAATGGTGACGTGTTCAATACTTATTTTACCCACTGTATGTACTCTCTCTGACCTGCATTCCAGTTGTCCTCGAAGGTTGGAGTTTCTCACTGTTGAGTCAGAAAAATGAACTGGAAAAGTCCACTAACATTTTAGTTTCAAGTTGGGAAGTCAGTGCAACATGACCATTTCCTAGCATCCTGAGCAGGCGTTGTGTCATCAGTTCAACATGACTGCTGCTCACATCAACAGAGTTGTAGAAAAGTGTTGTTCAAAGATGGAATATCTGAATATTGTAGCAGGACCCACTTAAATTTATAACAAAACTTTATTCTTGTCTCTGACTCCAATCAGTCTAACAGCAGTACACACAGCACAGGCCTCAGTGTAAGACCTGGTTTATAGTTGATGCTTCCCGCCAAAAGTGATGCAATTGCGCCGTCCCTGCCCCTGTGCATTGGCCCTGCTCGGTGTCCTGCTGCATGGTCGTGCTTTTACAAAATTTTGTAACTCCGCAAAAGTTGTACGCGCTGCACACAATTTAAACACCATGTTTGTTCGTCACGCTTTAGCTCTCCTGTTTGCAGCATTTCACAAGTTATAAAGTGTACCTACACGTGTCCTTTTGGAGAATACTACGACAAGCACCAAGTGTAAACACCTCCACCATTGGCGAGAGTGTGTGCGCACCCTCTGCAATTATCTAAAAAGCAACTATAACTGAGCCTTAAGGTCTTTGGTCATATCTGAAAACCCAAATAAAAAAGCCCAGCAGGCTGAAACTTAGCAGAGTTTTTACAAAACACTAACAACTTCTACCCAATTCATAATGATTCAACCTTAAAACCTCTTCAGTCTCTTCTTGGTTACAGCTCTGAAGGTTGTAACTTTTATGTCAGACATAGAACATAACCAACTTTTGTTTTTACAGACAGAGGGACCACATGATGCACACCAACTCTCATTTTATGCTTTAAACTTGAGGTTGAAATGATCAGAAAGTATAAAAAACAAACCTGCATCTAACATTGTTAATTGTTTACAAAATTTCCTTCAGAGACAAAGTCTTTTACAGATTTTTGCAGTTCTGTGTTGTTTATTTTACATGAAGTCAGTCATACTTGTAGTACTTTATAACGATTATTAGGCGATGTTTTAACGCTGTTTGTGCACTCAAAATGCCGCATGGCGACAGAAGTTTGGCAGTGTGGTGGACCCAGAATGAAGGCAGGCAGGCTCAAGAATTAAAAAAAAACTTTATTAATGGGAGGAGACAAGAAACACCTGGTGGAGAACTCATTAGAAACAAAAGGCAGGTGAGACCAGTTTCAGAATTCTGAGTTCTGCTACAACTAGAATGCTGCATTAGCTCGCTCTTTTTTTTTTTTACAGAAGAGGCTTTGGATTGGTTACTGCCCCCTGGAGGTAATCATGAATATGACATCATATTCTTTCCTTTTATTAGGTAAGAAGTACAGTATATTAAAAAAATTCATTTAAATCACAAAGTGAATTAAAAACACCAAACTGCTCAAATGTGCTAAACCAGGAACAAACGGGCAATTTTTGAATACAATTAAAATACAATGAATAAATACATATATCAAAAACTCATAGCCTTGTTTGTTTGAAACACATTTATTATACATCAGCCAATTGTATCAATGATGTAAAATTAAATGATTAGAAAATATCTGTCATGTTTTCAATTGATGGTGTGTAAAATTGAAAAAAGGACTTTAATCTGGTCATCTTTGAGGCATAGACATTTATTAAGAAGTAATTTCATTATCTGGATAACTGTATTTATAATGTGAACCAATAAGTAGAAAAATATTTATTTTTTCTAACAAATTATTATTTTTGTCTTATATCATACTTTATCATCTTTTTTCACTTGAGTACAGTCGTTGTACATAAGCAGTAGAAAAAAAAACAAGTGAGGGAAAGCTGAATGTTTTACAGCGCCTTTCATGTTTTCTGGGTTTTATTCGATTATTTGCGTCAGATTTTTCTCACAGATCCAATAGTTTAGACCTGTGCATGGGCTGTCATTCCAGCTGTTTTCATATTCATGAAACCTTATCTCCACACATTTTTCTTCCATGCCTTCAAGATTGTTGGGTTCTCCTTRGCCCCAGTAACTGAAGTGGTAGAAGATGACAACAAATGATAGTTAATAACAAAAACAAGATAGTTTTGTCAAAAAATGTTCAATTAAACATACAAGTTTAGATCTTGTCACATCAGTAAAACAGTCATTGCAATATTAATATAGTATAAGAATGATTCATAAGTCAAACAGATCAGGTTTTAGGTGTCAAAAAGCAAATAAAACACCTTTCGTTCAAAGGAGTCCCATCCACCCAGGTCCACTGATTTGTTATGTTTCTCAGTCCGATCCATGTTAACCTGTCAAACTGTCTCGTAAAGTTCTGAAAATAAAGAAATGGAGAAAATATTACTATTTATTATAACTTTTACACCTTTTTGCCCAAGATTGCACTTTCAAACAGTAACATAAAACACTTGTACCTGCTCTTCGTTGGTGTTAATAATCACCAGATCTGCTTCTCTTTGCAAACAGTCCTGTTGACTTTCCTCCCAGGATTGTTTGGTGGAAGAAATGTAATAGAAACTTGGATGTGCATACACCCATCCTTGTTGAAAATACTGAGCTGTCAAGAGAAACAAAGGTTTTGATTAAATTAAGAATAACTTTTCCAATATGACTTTTTCTCTCTCGTTCTGTAACAAGAATCACTGGAGTTTGTAAATATAATTGTCAAAAGCAAAAATTAGCAATACGTTGATCCTTATACATGAGGTTGATAAAATATTATTAACTATAGGTCATATTATCAGTTTTAAAAATTTATCTGACATATTTTGCATAGAACCAGATCAGTGCTTAAATGTTTTAATTAAAAAATGTATTTTTTTTCTTTTTCTCACTCACCATTCTGTCTTCTGAAGTTGTCTAAATCTGTTGCCCTATTTTTGCAAACAGACAGAAGGTCTGATGTCTGGGTGTCTAAAAAGGCAGAAACACTTGTTAACAAGACATGCACACTTGTACACAAAAAAGTCAAGATTTTTTTATATGAACTGTGTTGGGTGTTGTTTATAAAGTTACATAGTCAAAAATTACCAAATTTTTTTTTGCTTTATTTAGCCTTTCATAAAAAAATTAAAAAATGGGTTTGTTTTGAGAAGTCAGATTTTCACCGTGTTATTCATACATTTATAAATGACATAGTTTATGAAATAATTATTTAACATAAATATTAAATATTTAGTTAGCAAGGTAAATATTTAGGTCTAAATTAAGCACTTAGTTTGCTAACTAAATATTTAATATTTATGTTAAATAATTATTTCATAAA